TAATGATGCTCCGACAAAACCTACAGGACAACTCTGTGCTTAAATTCACCCACGAAATAGCCACTGACAAAACCATCAATTTTCTGGATGTACATATCGACGCCAACAACAGAACTTACATCGCTAAACTTCTGAGTTTGATTCTATAAGGTGAACAGAGTGCATATAGCCCATTGTACAGCTTTTTGTTAAAACAATAATAACAACAACAATTCTAGCTTAATTTACAAGGGGAAGAACACGTCTTAGCAAGAGTAGTTTGTCCCTTTTCAGTATTCTGATATTGCCATTCCAATTTGTTTCTCGTTCAGCTCTTACGAAGATTTTAGGCACTGCCTAATGGAGGACCTTGGTCCGAAAAGTTTTCATAATTTAAGAATAAATTTACAGTATTTTTCATCTGTTTCTGTTCATTTTTGACAATTAACATTTGTTTTTTAATTGAAAAAATTAGGCCTTGTAAGAAATGAATACCGGCACAGCACGTATAGCCCAGATTTACTTGCACATATACATCAAATCGACCTTAATTTTTTAAAATTAAATCAACGGAGTAGTAATTTTCATCGTGAGAAGCTGATTGTAACGATCTTGTTCATTCATGTTGCTTGAGAGGTTGATTTTCATTATTTCTTCAACTCGTGAAATAGGAAATAGGAAATGTACACTATTTATTATGCATGAATTTTTTTTATTATGCAGAATACAACGAAGTAAAATTTTCAAATCACTTAATTAACTTTTATTAGTAAAACTAATTGGATAAAATAACTTTTCTTTTAGCAACATTAAGAACCCTCACACAGAGGTAAGTTTTGCGAACTATAACATGTTCTCATCTGTGACAAGTTGTTAGAATTTTTTAGATTCTATCATGTTACACTAACTTTGTTACTTGATAAGTTTAATCGTAAGCAACAAAAAATACCAAAATTATATTATGTTTTGTGCTTTTGGTGCATCCATAAATTTCCGGAGATTAAAAGTGAATAGGTCATATAAAGGTATCATAAACTGATAAAGCAACACCAACACTCGTATCTGGAAAAAAATGTGTAATATTAATTGTTGTTTTCCGTTTCGATAATTCCGTCAGAACCCTTTATTCAGTAATGAACGCGGGTCCTTAAAAAAAAAAAAAAAAAAAATACAGTGTGTTAGAAACCTAAGAAAGAAATAATTTTGTGAGCAGTTTAGGTAAAGAGAAAAACTAATACATAATATTTCATCCAGTTGTATTTTTAGTTGAGCATTTCATGTCAAGCTCATGCTTTTTACATCTAATATCTAGTATATTTTTATACACGGCTTATATCCTTTGTCCAACTGCTACGTAACTGCATATAGATTTTGAAATATCATGAGCAAGTTTATAACGTCAGTCTATATATTTTTTTAAATTGCTATTAACGTCAGCAATAGAAAGCAGTCTATTTCAAATAAAGACGTTATTCTTACTGAAGTGAAGGACACTGTACAGGGAACCATACACGATTTAGTATTTAACTTTTCGATGGCTATCGTGTTACAGATAAAACGAAAATATAATTTTAAAATAAATGTTGCACTCAGCATGTATGTAAACAATATTTTGGTTTTAAATCTAACTATATAAAAAATTCAAAACGTCTTCCATATTTTTGACAGTTGTATAATTTAACGAAAAGTTGGCTTTGTAATGTTAACTTGTAGAAATCAATGCAACTTAAGGATTTTTCCACCAGATACTCACCAGTTCTCGTGGCTGTAGTTATCCATGGTCAAACATTCCTAAAGAAAACACATCTGTCATTTTCACATAGGATGTAGGATTTCAAATACAAAATTATTTTTTTCCTTTTAAATACCTAAAAATTATCACGAATTTCTCACAAGTATTTTTGTAATTTCAACGCAGTTAGGGAGATATTACAAACATCTGAAGTAATGGTGGAATTATTTAGCAATATATATATATATATACATATATATATTAATTTTCTCAATTATATTACAACAGTTTCGTTAAAGTTACGTTTTTGCAGTGATAGAGCTTACAAATTATTAGTGAGAGCTACAGGTTTTCCTTTAAAAAACGAGAATTTTGGATAATATTCAAGTTATAAAATATCTGAAAATGCATCATTTCAAAATCCATAAATAATACTCTGCCTAACTTTCTGAGCAAAGAAGAGATAATTTCGTGTCATTGTTGATACCAAAAGATGCTTCACGTTACTACTTTGAGAAAAAAACGAACAAAAAATCAATGTAGAAGAACTATGTAATTCTCTAGTAATAGACTTACGATTTCATACTAGAATGTTAATGTAACGACCCGAGCTCACTTCAGTTTTTAATTACAGCTTGAAAAAAATATACAATAAAGTATTCATACAAGAGTAATCAGGCAATCCTTGTTGCCTGAAACTGATTATAAACACTTAAGACTTCTCTAGTAGAAAATAAAATTTAGGTTGATATTTTCAACCCTGCTTCCGTTTAAATTCGTTTTTGGGAAGCATAAAGTTGCACAACAGACCACTTGTATTGTATCCCATTGCAGGGATAGAGCCCCAAATCTTAATGTTATAAGCCCTTAAACTTACCGTTGAACCACCGGCTGATGAGGTAGTGTCTGTTTCAGAAAAGTCAAAATATAGAGTGCTTAGAATGTGGCATTTAAAAATAAACAATGAAAGACTATTAGATGCAACTGACTAAATAAATATGTACCTTCATCACAATTCCAAGTTCGTACCAAAACCATTTCGTTGTCTCTGTCTTTTCCATGACGCAAGTGGTGAATATTCTTGGATTCTGCTGATGAAAAAATGTCTTGAGAAAAACAGTTATTGATAGTTTTTAACAGTCGCAAAAACCTTTTAACCAATGTTTATGAAACTCACGACTGAAATTGTTAGAGCTTTATTTCTTTGTTTAGTAAGCATAAATCGACACCAGCTGTGCCTTTTACAAGGATCAAATCCCGAATGTTTGTGCTACAAGTCCTCAAACCTACCACTAAACTATTGAGAAGCCAACTTGCTGTGAGTTAAGAAAACATAATAAGATATTTCTAAATTTTAATTTAAAATTAGATTTCAGTATCATTAAGATGTGATCGGCTGGAAACTACACGTAAAATTAATGTTTGTTTGTTTGAAGTTAAGCACAAAGCTATACAATGGGCTATCTGTGCTCTGCCCATCACGGGTATCGAAACTCGGGTTCTAGTGTTGTATGTCCGCAGACATACCGCTGTGCTACTGGGGAGGGGGGCAAAAATCAATGTTGAAATTTTATTGATAATAAAGCTCATTATAATTTTAAAAAGTAAGATATTTTCATGTAACACACACACACACACACACAAACAGTATATTTTTGAGCCTATAGTCAACTGGAGATATACAAAATGCAGCACAATGTGGAATCTACAAGATAAAGCTCAAAAGTATGAAACTGATATGTAAATATGATAAGCAAGTTAGAATAAGATGCCTTATTTTAAGAAATGGCCTTTATATTTCAAGCTTACTTAAATACAAAAATATTTTAGTCTTTCAAAACAAATTTAACGTAGTTTAGATTCTTGTTTTTAAAACCCACGAATCTTCAGTTGTCTAGTGCTCATAGTAATGTATTACTATTCTTTGAATTTAAATCCTAAACACATTCTACAGAAAATTTTTAGAATTCGCATGTGAACTTACAAATCTTGGATTTGGTACGCAGATTGCATTGGCTGCTTCCTCGATGTTGGTGATTTCCATCTCCATATTAGCCAAGCAGTGAACCCAGGCATTTATGAGCTAGCGTAAAAAATACAACAAATTTTTTAAGTAATTTTATCTGTAATGTTTTAAAAAAATGGCATTCCAAGTTAAAATTAAACATACAAAAATTACACTAAAACTTTCACCGGATATTAACTGCAACCATGAACGTACGCGGGGTAGGGGGTGGGTCGCCAGAACCTCCTAGTCTTGTGATGTAAAAACATTATATTACCACTCAGTTCATGTTCATGTGAACGTTCGCATCTGCTTTTCGCCGGTTGAATAATTATCTGAGGTGTACATAAACCGAAGAAAGACCGAGTGTTCTAGCTTTAATACATAATCATTATGACACTGCTATCAACATTGAAACTGTATGTAAGTTATTTATGGAAAAGCACCCCCGAAGAATGGGGGCATGCTAATATGTTATTTCAGTAGTGCATAAATGTACATATATGATGGTCAATGATTGAAATAGTTAATATACTATTGTTGTACAGTTGTTTAAATTAGTAATATAATTTAACAATAAATACTCTGTATGCACATAATACAGTATTTTACTATGATAAAACACACATATTTATGTTAATTTAAATCTAGCTTCCCATGCAGTGTTACAACAAAATGACGATTTTTTTGGCTTTTCATTGGATGTTTGTGGATTTTATGTGAACAGCCATGTAATTGTTTAATCTATATTTCATGCAAAATTACTTCCAGATTTAATCTCATAGCATCCACTTCTTAGAAATTCTATGAGGGGGGGGCATGCCCTCAGACTCCCGTAGCAATAGCATGTTTTGCATGCTGATTGTGCTTCGCACAATATGTATTACCTTTTGATCTCACAAATTAAACCCCCACTTTCAAACATCATGCGTACGGGCCTGGTACTCATCTGTTGTTAAAGTTCCGTTCTAAACCACATTAAAAAACTTATTTGACTCTGATGAAACGTTCGTATTCAAGAAAAATGTTTAAATGTTGTTGTTTGTTATTAATAAAACGAGTTTAAGATTTGTTGATTTGTCTGAAGAGAGCAAAGTTCGAATTTCAAGCTGGGATATTAGAAGGGAGAATATTAATTTATATTTGTCAACTGTATTATAGTCCAGTTTTGTGAATCGGAGCTGTAATATATAAATATTCAACAGACAGTTTCACTGGCGTAGCCATACATATTCCTATTTTTTAAAAATTAATTCACGCACCTATGAATTTGAATAAAGATGTTTAATGTGGGGATAATGTTCTTCAGGATTTGTATTTTTTAGAAATGAGAAAAAAAAGTGTTTTAAAATAGAATCCTGGAAACTTCTAAGTAAAACATCTGTTCATTTTTTAGCACTTCTCCCTTGTAGTGGCCACATGTGTTCTCATACAGATACGAAAAAAACTACTGCTACTCGTATCTCTGTGTATACTCATGTGTAACTTACCTTTTCTCTCATTCCGAAATTCTCTTCTACACAGTGCAGCAAACCCATTTTGTATCTTCGTGCTAACATGAGATAAATATATTGCTTATTATTAAGAGCAGTGAATGTACACTAAGTACTTTGTAATTATTATCACGGCCTAAAACATTGCCTAATTCGAATGATGTAGTTTTTCGCCAACCATTTTTTTTTCTTACTTTTGATATGAAATTTGTAATAACTTATCATGCGTTTAATGGTGAGTTTACTGGAGCTGTATACGTTAAAAAAATCTCTTCACCGAATAACTTCACCTGAACTTGAATGTTAAGACTAGTTTTTATAACCTAATTATATATATATATATCGTTCAAGATTCTGAAAGCTGATCTAAGATACCCCTTTACACATATACTAGGCATCAGTAGTGTATCTTCTAGCTACTCGATAGTATACATTAGTAATTAACCCTGGAGATAGTTTTCTAGCTCATATAAGAGCGTGTAACCTTCCAAGTATTTCTTTAGATTATATATCTGTGTTATAAACCCACTTAATATCTGTTACGGATAACTGATTTTTCAGCTAGTTTTCTAGATTACACTAATTATTAATCATTTTAGTCGGTTCTCTCGACCGAATAATGGCATTAAGCCTTTTTTACTCGTTAACTAGATCTGTTTGAATAACAAAACTTTGAGCTAATATTGAAATAATATACGGTGTATATAGATCTATAGAAAATACCGTACATGAGTATTAAGATACATAATAAATTTCGTAGATGATGTTGGGGCAATGCATATTTTAGTTGGTGTTTTTGAGCGCATACCCTATAGTATTAGTATTAAACTTTCTACTTAGTTTTATATATCATAAACATTTTATCAATTTTGGTTGCTGTAGTAAAGATAAAAAAACACATTGTAACCAATGTAACTTACTGCAGTATCCAACGAAGCCTTCAAAGACAGAAAATTCATCTTCCGAGGACGAATTTATTGCAACGCTTGAAAAAAAACATGAAATTAAAACAAACAATAAAGCAACATACATGAGAGGTTTAAGGCTTTTCATTATAATACTTATCTAAGTATGTTTTACGAAGTAATAACTGACTTAGTCAACTCAGAGAATTTTTATAAGAGTTTAGTTAAATGGTAATGGCTTGATTTTATCCACTCATTTTCTTAACAATATATATATATACCGGAGGTTTCGACCAATGCCTTCTTTGGGGGTGGAGTTATCTTTTAACAAACCAGCTTTGAGTTTTTGTTTTATTTTTTGATTGTGGTTTATTAGCCGTCAGTCTCCAATAGGAATAAGGTCACGTGCACAAATGACTATGACACTTCTTAGCTTCAATGACAGGCTTATGAGAGTCACTACATGATATTAAAAAAGTTATAGCCAGCGGCATCAAACCAACAATTCGTTCACTAAGAGATTGAAATATTCATTTGTGTTATTGTGTGATATTTTCACAAAGCATTCTTTTTTTTTTGTTTTAGCATAAAGCTACATAAATGGGTTATATGATACTGTTAATCGCGGGGAATTGAATCCCAGATTTTAACATTGTAAGTCCGTAAACTTATCGCTCACCCACTGAGGGAACCATAAGGCACTGTATATATTCGTTTACATTAACTTTAGGAAATTGAAAACTACTTCTAAAAAGCAGTTAATTTAATTGAAATGAAATTCAAAAGTGAACGTTGGCAGTTCATGGGTAAAATGTTTTCTTTATTATGTTTCTTTGAATATTACATTGAAACAAATATCCCTCACCAAATACTGCAAATTCTTTAAGGAACACCTGGTTTTGTTTCATTTCTTTATATCGTTGCTGTTGAAAAAATGTTAGACCGTGCTTCTATCAATAGTTTGATCCCATCCCGTACAAGCCCTAAAGTCATTGCATATTTCGTCTCTTTGTTTTGTACTATTAAGAATAACCGAGCAGAAAATAACTGAGGAGATCAGAGAACTTGTTAGGCTAGGATGTGGATTCTTGTTTCTGTCAGCTTTTGGAGTTATAAATCCCATCTTTTTAACATACGTTGATCTAAAAGACGATGTTATTATAGTAAGTTAAGGAAACAAGGCGTGTCATAAGTGGCAGAATATATCAACCTCGCTTGTAGCTATATCATAGAAATATTAACAACATGTTGAACTCCTAGATATGTATTAGCAACTTTGGAACTGTAATTAAAAGTCAGGGATAAGTGTGTTAAATGTCACTGTTTTATAGCTCATATATATATAGTAATGGAGGGCATATCGTTTTAAAAACTGAAACAAACATGCTGGTTGTTATGTTTATATTACCAATGTAGGAGGATACCTTTCTGTTGAAAAAGTGCCAGAGAAATACAGCAACGCCTGATGGTTCACTTACTCACCGTTTTGTCTCTAAGTATAATCATGATTTAAACTTTGCTGCTATTGGTTTTGATATTTTTTCTCGTGTTCCACTGTTACCAACATAATACATTTCTCAGTGCTATAAATAGTCCCTTATGCATCCCCCATTGTCTTTGATATATTTTTCGTGCCACAGATGATGCTATAAAGCATCAAATACAGTATCTTCATCCGCTCTCAAAACTCCCTTCATGCCTGAATCGCTGGCACTATCCCCTTTATGTACCAAGTACTAGTCTACTACAGATACATACTTCATGTCCCTGATGCAATTGGTACTTCCTTCGTATGTTCACTCTTTTCAACGTCCTCAATTGTGTCCTCTTTGTTACTAATACTTGTCCTCCTTGCTATTAATCTCGCCTTTTATACTATCGCGGCTCTGCCTCCATTTATGTCTCCGGTGTAGTGGATAACCATTTTCAAGCCATAATTTTACTAATATTTCCTTCTGTGCTACAAATGATACAGGTATTCCCTTTCATGTCCTCTGGAGCATATGATATTACCTTCGTTTTCTTCCCTTTAGTTTCCTACTGTAACAACTCCCATTTCGGTTTTCAGTGCTGAAATATCTCCCTTTGTGACATTCACTTTTGTTTGGGCATTAAGTACAATTATATTCATTGAAATGGCTGCCTTCTCTTAATAAGGTGATACATAAGCCTATCGCGTTCGATGGAAAGATCTAGCACATTTAACGTTTCTGACATATTATGTTAGTTTATAGGCCCAAAGCAGCCATAAATTATGGATAACTTTAATACTTTACTCCATAGAGTGAAAAACCACTAAAATACGAAAACTGAGAAAAAGAGGGAAGATTGTGAATGTCATTGGTATTTTTCTAATATTTAAGAGTAGTTCATTCTTTTATTATTAAATATTCCTCCAATTTTGATGTATTTGCCATATTTCTACTTGTAAACTATTTGACTTTGTTAGATTTTCCGAAATTCATACCGTTGTTATTTTAGACTGTATTTTGTTTAACTCGAAGGTGCTAAGAATTTTGAAGAATTATACAATATTATATAATCATGTAATAACTCGAAGTTTAGAATATTTGATATTTTACTTGCAATTATAACGTTTCTAACGAAACTTTCCAGAAATGTTTTCAGCTAAGAATCCTAATTCTCAAATTATTATTTTCATATATTTAATATATGTATATATATATATATTAAGAGTTATTTTCCACAAAACCAGTATATTCATTAGGGAAATAGCTTTTTTCTTACACAAATAATTACATGTCACAATATAATTATTTAAACCTAAAATGAAAGAACGTTTCCATTATGATAAAGTCATATCAGTAAAGTTTTTCTGAACATGTACATAATTTGAATAGTATTTGGCACACCTGTGCCTTTTATTGAGGGACCATATATATAAAAAAAACCTTGAATATGTGTAAATTATGAAATATTATATTTTTACTTTGCTCATCATTTATTTTGCATCTTTTGCCCCACCCTCCCCAGTGGCACAGCGGCATGTCTGCGGACTTACAACGCTAGAATCAGGGTTTCGATACCCGTGGTGGGCAGAGCACAGATAGCCCATTGTGTAGCTTTGTGCTTTATTACAAACAAACATATTTTGCCTTCTGCTCAGCTTTGCCAGTGAGCAAGTGGAAGTAGAAGCAGGATAATATCTTTTCTTATTTTTAATGACAACGTATCCTACCAGCATATATAGTGGTAACTTAATGCACTAATAACTGTAGTGTTTAGTACGTTATATTATAAAACAGAACACAGTGATACTAAAACTAATTTGTAGTTAAATTATTGCAAGGGGCAACACATGTGGAAAACACATCGAACTACACCACGAGATAAATTTGATTATAAGCATACCTCTGCTTAAATAAAACGTGGATCAAAATTTTTACACAATATGAGAAGAACAACTTTCCAGGTGGAGATTACACTTGATAAGCAACGAGAATCAAATACAATGCAGTTATGAAACTTAATTATCTTTTAATCCGTGGAGACAATTAATGAAATATCTGTTGTTGTTTTGTTGTTTTTGAAGTTAAGCACAAAGCTACACAATGGGCTATCTGTGATCTGCCCGCCACGGGTATCGAAACCCGGATTCTAGCGTTGTAAGTCAGCAGACATACCGCTGCGCTACTGGGGGGGGGGGCATGACATATCTTAAGAGTAAGCTTCGGTATTTACGGTCTGAACAACACTTTACGTGACATAAATGCTGACCGACCTGATGAGAGACTTCAAACATTCAGGCATAACTTCCTTAATTTATAACTGCTGACCAAAAGACAATCAACGAAAAGCACCTGCCGCCTAGGTGGCTACTATTAATCGAATACCGCAGTAGAGAGTGAACATTTGTAAATGGAAGTACAAATAATATACTAGAAATATTTTCTTGAACAGTATATGTTTTTTTTTCAGACTAATGTGATTAATGAAACTGTGTTTGTGTATAATTATACACATTAACGAATATATAATTTCACAATCTAAGACTTAATTAAGAAAAAAAAATTGCGATTAACAGTTACAAACTTCAATTTAATTGTTTACTATAAAGCCCTCACACGCTAAAATCCAGGCCACTCCCAACCCTCCTTTCAAATGAACAGATAAAAATAGTGTGTTATATTTCATTTGTATTTTTCTAGTAACAGTACATTTCAAATATAGAATGTGATTAAACTAAATAATATATAGTGTAACAGAGGTCTTCCAAGTTACGTTGAGTGTTTAAATATTTTGAGTTAAAAAATGTAAAAAGCTTTCAAAATGACTTATCAAAAAAACAACAACAAAAACCGTAAAGAGTAGAAATGTGTAAAAAAAAGTGTAAAAAATAAAAGATTGTAATTAGCATAGTCCATTTTGTTATTCTACATCGGCTGCTATAGCAACAAATGTTTTGACTGAGGTGTCAACCTGTACCAGGTATAAGGAAAATATCAGCTACTGCACGTGAGGTATCTGTGGAAGTAGGAGCATGTCCCGACGTTGCACTTTATGTTTGCTGAACGGTGCCTGTCGGTACTGTCCAATCTGAACACAGATGGCACTTTAAGCTCAGCATGATAAGAGAAAACTAAAACTTTTAACATGCAATCGTAACATTGCAACTTTATTTGATATCACGATCATATAGTGTTTGCATAGAACATTATGCATGATTTTAACAGTTAATTTCTTGTTGCGGAGAGAACAATTAATTTTGCAATTAATACAATTAACAATTTACATCGAGCCTGAACGAGTTTGCAACTTACATAAATATTGGTTTTTTTATGAAGTACACACTGAACAGCCTAGTGAATGAACGTGTAAATTGGTTTCTGAGTGTGTTTAAAGTTTTGCTCAATAATGTAGCGAAGAAGCGAACTAGTCTCAAACCAGAAGCTTATGAATGTAAGAATGCATATAGTTAGATGATGCTACAGTGTTTAAAAACAACAAACATTTTAAACTGAATTATTAATCATAACTAGTAATGAATTCAATTGTTATTTTCAGACAGGCAGATATTTTGTTCAAGGTTTCCTGAAAGCAACAAAAATGTTCACAGTTG